TGCACTCTCCCGCCCAGTAATAACTCATTTCAGAGTCTATTTTCTTTGCTCTTAGTTTAGCTGCTATGACCCCCTTCAATTACTGTTTGCAAGTCTTCCTCCAGCCTTTCACTTTCGACATATTTTAGTCTTTAAGTACGAGTCTCTTGTAGGTGGTATATAATTAGTTTACTTGTTTCCTTCAATTTTGACCTTCCTAGCCTTTTAGTTGGAAAACAAGCCATTTTCACCTAGTATAATTATGATATGATTTACATGGCATTCTGTCATTTCCCCTGTGTGGTGGTTTGTGTGAGAATGTCCCTCATAACCTCTCATATTAGAACACTTGGTCCACAGCTAGCAGCGCTGTTTGAGGAGGTTATGGAACCTTTAGAAGGTGGAGCCTTGTGGAGGAAGTCCATCACTGGGGGTGGACTACGGGAGTTTATATCCTCTCCCTATTCCAGTTCAATGCTTTGCTTTCTGTGCACAGTTACTAAGTGCTTGGTCAGTTCGCTGTCATGCCTCCCTCACCATTATGGACTCGCCCTCTGGAACCATAAGCCAAAGTAAACTCTTTCATTCATACACTGGTTTTGGTCATAGTGTTCATCATAGCAATAGAAGTAACCAACACACGTAAATGCCTCTTTTGTCCTCCAATTTTTCCAAACCTAATGTTTGTGTTAAGTGGAATTATTTAAAGTTTCTGTCTTCCTCCCTCCCTTCTTCAAATTTCTGCACTCAAAAATAACAAGGAAAACTGAGAATAAAACTCAGGGATTTTGCAGGCGAGGAAAATAATGTACAAAAAAATGTTGTCCCTACCTCCCCCTGCTATTTCTTATACCATGTATTTTGGGGGTGGGATTTTTTGTTTGTTTGTTAGTTTTTAAGTGTGTGTGTGTGTGTGTGTGTGTGTGACTATCCTGAGGACTGCCACTAAAGTTTGAATTTATAATGTTCTATTCAGATAAATATAGAAAATTCAGATAAATATCAAGTTCACTTCCATATAAAGTTTTTCCTGCTGCATATACCATTTCCACCTTTCAAGTTATGCTAGTATTGCCAGGGACTGTATTTTATATACTATGCGGTTTTTTTCTTAATAGACATTGCTGCTTTACATAGCTGTCTCCTAAGTCAGAAAAGAACACATATGAAAATATGTATATTGTCTATTTACTCAGTAGCCTTCACTGGTGATTTATCTTTTCTTATTGACCATATTATCCCAGTGTCAGGTATAAGCTGACACTGTTCACTTGAGGATATTTTGTTTTGCCTATTATCTCAGAAGGAACTGTTTCTGGATATAGAAATCTTGACTGACAGTTTTCCTTCAGTATTTTATGTATGTTCTCCTCCCGGCTTAATTGTTGTGAAGATCCCTGACTGTGATGACTTGTTTCTTTCTTGCTACTTTCAAAATTGTCTTCAATTAGGACAATTTGATCATGGTGTTCTACAGGTCTCAGAACCTGGAAATGTCTCTTCCTCTTTCTACAACCAGGAAATTTCTATTGAACTGCCTTCCATCCTGTTGGTTCTTTATTTAGCCTGCTCAAACCTTCATTTAACCACTGACTTCATTCCAGTTGTTGCAGTTTTAAACTCCAGAATCCTACTTGACTATTCTGGTTGGATTCCTATTTCTTTATTAATATTATCTACTCTGTGAGATATCCTTAGACCTGTCTTTATTTTTCAGACACGTCTCCTTAAGTGAACATGTTTAAAATGTTCACTAAAATTTTTATCTAGTAAAACCTAACAGTGCTTCCTCAGAGCAGTTTCTACTGATCACTTTAATTGTGGTGCACTTTCTTGTTTCTTTACATGTCTTATAAGCTTTTTTTTTGGAGGGGGGAGGCAGTTGGGACAGGGTTTCTCTGTGTAGCCCTACAACTCACAGAAATCTGCCTGCCTCTGCTTCCCGAGTGCTGGGATTAAAGATGTGTGCCACCACCAGGAAGTCTTATAATTTTTTTAATACAATAACAGAACATTTAAAATTCAATGTGGCAGCCAGGCATTTGTTGACACACACCTGATCTACAGAGCTAGTGCCAGGGCTTCACAGAGAAACCCTGTCTGAAAAACTCAAAAGGAAAAACAAAAGCAAGGTTTAAGTTGTCCAGGCTGGTCTTGAACTTTCAATTTTTATGCTTCAGCCTCTCAAACAACCAGGGTTACAGACCACCACATGTACCACCATACCTGACTTTCTTTCAAGTATTCTTATGGAAATTTAGTTTCTGCCACTAGTTTTATATAGACTTACTCAAATAATGGTTAAAGTGGCTAAAAATTATATAAAACTAATGCTTTGGTCTCTTGCTTCCCTGGCTATTTACTTGTTAATGAAATGAATTATCTCACTGGAATGATGAAATACTAATATTTCCCAAAGGCACTATTTTAAGAAAGATTATATGCAAGCATGTCTGTGTGAACTAGTATCAGGAAACTCTGTCCCCATGAATCATGGACGCCTGGATGAGCTGAGTGTTGTAATGTGGCTATGGGAGCTTGCTGTTAAGAGCTAAATCCTATTAAAAATCAATTTATAAAACACATAATCCTTTAATCCAATTCTTTCTGCACTAACTTGATAACTGAAACATGAAACTCTTCGTTATAAAAAAGCACATTAACATTTGAGGTTAGAAGTTAGAACCTAGTAAAGTTATTTAAATTTAATGATAAGGAGATTTCTGATATCTGTTACTAACAATTTTAAGTTCTTAGATCTATAAAAATTTGCAGTTTTCATTGAAACTTTCATGAATAATTTGCAGACACCCTCTTTGAAAGCAAAACATACGTTTTTTTTGCTAGGTGATTTTGGATTTTTATAAATATCTCTAAGTTTGTTCTGGGACAAGCTAAATTACCTGGAAATAGTTCAATGTTTTCACTCCTGAGTCTCCTGGTGTGTGATATCTAGAAGCAATGTCAGCAGAGGTCGCCTAGCTAAGGACACACCTGGGGCAGTCCCATGAGAATCACAAAGTGGAGAATCTTAAATCCTTACTGAGAAGGGCTATCCCAGCAAAGAAGTGCTGCTCCAAGAAATTAGAATTAGTGGTAGAAACACTGCACACCAGCTGGCTGGTGCTGTCCTCTAGAATATAAAAATTATAAACTTTATTTAGAGAAAAATAAAGATTTTTACAAAGAGATGGAAGTAGAACTCTTTGAGATCGTCATTCTCTGGGAATTCAGTGTTTGGGAGACATGTTTGCTCACAGATTTTGTTTTTGCTTCTGCCCCACTCCTTTCTGAGTCCAATTACACATATGTTAGGCTAGGTTGTCCTCAGCTCATGGATGCCAGTTTAATATTTAACCTTTTCTCTTTGCCATGTCTTCAAATACACTAATCTGTTCTTTGGTAAAAAGAAATCTGCTCTTAATCCAGGGTAATTCCCATGCCAAACACAGTTTTTCTGTCAAAAACCCTGACTTAGCTCTCTTTATTATCTTTCATATTGCCTCTTAAGCTTCCAAGTTACAGACACTGTAAGGGTTTGAAATGCTCTGCCCTGCTGGTTCTGCTTCTGGTCCAGTGCTGACTGACAGATGATTCTGTTTGCTCTGTGATGTTTCCTAGTCTCTGTGCAACTGTCCCCTTCATTCAAAAGACTCTCCCCTCTCGTCTCCTCCCTCCCTCCCTCTCCCTCTCTCTCTCTGTCTCTCTCCCTCCCTCCCTCCCTCCCTCCCTCCCTCCCTCCCTCCCTCCCTCCCTCCCTCCCTCCCTCTCTCTCTCTCTGTCTCTGTCTCTCTCTCGCGGCGGTTCACAGACTTTATTTGTTCAACATTAAACAGTGAAGGAAGCATGTTAAGTATTCCTGGGATGTCATGCACAGGACTATGATGAAACCCCAGCATTCTGGAGGCTGAGGCAAGGAGACTGCTAGCTTAAAGCCAGCCTGGGCTACACAGAGAGATCTTGTTCTCAAAAGATAACACACATGTATGTGCGTGCTAGGCCACCTTAACCGTAATTCAGCATGTTCAGGCTACTTCTAAAGTGCCTCGTAGACCCCGGTTTCTCAAAGTCTCACATGTGCTATGTCAGATACTTAAAAACATACACTTGGTAAAGTTTCCCCTAAAGAAAAGTAAGTTAAAATAGAAAAAAATATGTAAAAAGTTATACATATTTTCCTACACAGTTAAATGCTATATTTTTATAATATACTTTTTAAAATTCTGTAAGTGTTCTAATTTTATGTTTCTATAAATAATACCAAAAGTTTTGAAGATTCTGTTTTAAATTTGAAAGAAGGTAGCCAAAATGGCTCAGGGGGTAAAGGTTCTTGATGACCTGAGTCAGATTCCTGGACTCCACATGGTGAAAGGAAGTTGTCCTCTGACCTCCACACAAGGAAGAAACCACTGTACACTCGGAAGGCACGCTCCTGTGTTTATAGTATCCTTTTCTTAGAAGATAATGGTAGATTTTTCATAGACGTGAGGCAGCTCTGACCTCTCAGTTTCCTGGCTGTCCTCTGCCTGTCCTGTCCTACCCTATTTACTGCCTTACTTCTGAACTGCTTTCCGTGTTAAAACTGCAAGCACTCAGGCCAGACTGCGAGTCTCCTCAGTAGCAATCGCCCGGCGGCTGTCTTTCTGTGAGACCACAGACACAGTGAGCACAGGGCACCAAAGCAGTCTTAGAGGAGACTGTCTTGCGGGCGGTGGTGGCGCACGCCTTTAATCCCAGCACTCGGGAGGCAGAGGCAGGCGGATCTCTGTGAGTTTGAGGCCAGGCTGGTCTACAGAGCAAGTTCCAGGACAGCCTCCAAAACAATACAGAGAAACCCTGTCTCGGAAAAAAAAAAAGAGAGACTGTCTTCTCCCTCCCTCCCTCCCTCCCTCCCTCCCTCCCTCCCTCCCTCCCTCCCTCCCTCCCTCCCTCCCTCCCTCCCAGAAAAGATGGTTTCTACACAACTAGCCATGTCAAGTCTCTTTTTACCAAAATTAAAGATGGTTGTGAGATAAACTTACGTATCTCTTCCACAACTTGCGGGTCACATTCCCTGTATTTTTCAACTTCTGCCTTAAGTTGATCCCTTTGGTCCCGAAATGAAGAAAGTTCTTTTGCAAGCATGGCTCGTTCTTCCTGGATGTAAAGGATTTTATGAACTCTTAGACCAAATAATGTAGCAGGCTTTCTTAGACTACCAACCCCCAAATCATGACACAGAAACTTCTTAATTATGAATGCTCAGCCTTAGCTTAGGTTTGCTTCTCGCTAGCTTTTTTTTAACTAACCCCATTTCTATTCATCTTTGTGCCGTTTCAAGGCCTTTTTTTTACCTCATCTACGCACTATCCATCCTGTTTTCCCTGTGTCTGGCTGGCTGGCCCCCAGCTGGCTGGCTCCCCTTTTCTCTGCTCCCCAGCCCCCCATCCCTCCTCTGTCTGCTATTGGCTGTTCAGCTTTTTATTAGACCAATCAGGTGCCTTAGGCAGGCAAGGTAAAACAGTAATGCATCTTTACATAGTTAAACAAATGCAGGATACACAAATGCAACACATCTCTACATATTAAACACATATTCTATTCCACAACAAAACAGATCTCATGTGTAATGAAGTAATGAATTCTGTAAACAATTATCTGACATGATATTTTACAAAGTCAGCTCCCAGTATTCATGGGCTCTGCATCTGCATATTCAATTGTCCACTGTTGGAGCCCCGGAGACCTTTAAGTTGTAGCAGAACTAAGTGGCAGTTTGAATTGAAACAATTTGAATTGAAAAGTTATTATGAACAAACTGGTCATGCATACATTGGTTCCTGGAACAGGCTAAACATAAGGTGTTCTATAAGAAATATTTCCTTCTGTACCCAGGCCCGGTACTTTCCACTGCCCCTGTCCTCATCCCCCGCCCTGCCTAAACTGCTTTATAAAAATGAGACCTTTCTAGCTAATAAACGAAGCCTTGACGCAACTCAGACTGACTCTTTCTTTATGCGCTTGGCTTCCACTTCTCTCTCCCCCCCGTTTGACTCCTACAGGTGACACCCGCTCGAGACCCAGTAAATAACCTGGCCTGCTGGACGGGTCAGTCCACATATCAGAAACACTAAAAAGAAAACCATACACAGTACAGTATCACTCTCTGAATGACACAACAGAAAAAATGTTTACAAAGCATTTCTGTTGTAGCAGGAATTATAAGTAATCTAGAGATTATTTAAAGTATATGAGGATCATAAAAGCTATATGCAACTATTGTGCCATTTAATAGAAACATATTTATATATAAATACCTATTTTACATAGATATTACATATAGACATACATAATTGGCATTTTAATGCATGGGTTGCATGTGTGGCGCTTCCATTCTGAGGGTCCTAGGCTTGAACTCAGGCTGTCAAGTCTTGGCAACAAGCACCTTCACCTGGTGAGTCTCCATGGGACCAACTTAAAGACCGGACTTGAGCAACCCGATTTTAGGATCTCACAAGGTCTTGTGGACACACCTCAGTATACACACAAATGTGCGTGGTATAAGAGCAAGCCCACTACCCATCCTTCTCTGAAGTCCCAAGCCTTTCATATGCACTGAATAATAGGAATAAATATATAGAACACGACAATCATAAACAGGTAGGAGCAGATGGTTACACATCGATGAACTCAAAGATGATGATGTCAGCATACATCCAGGAAAAGCTTGTACTGCTTTTTGGGTAATTTCATGGCTTGTGCTTATTAATGTAAGTCACAGTTTCTGGCAACATTAATCATTAAACAATTATCTTTCAAAAGGTGTTTTAAAAAATGTTCTAGTTTTTTTCAACTTTAAATGATTAACCTTTATAAATATTTAAAGGAATCAGAAATGGCCTCCTGCCATTTTTCTTTCAAGGTGAACCAAACAAGGATTTTAATAGCATAAGCCAATAGGCACCCTTTGACATTTTAGGCAAAGCGCACATCAACACAGAGATGTCATATTGCTATGACTGTGTGGCTGACATTTGTGAAACCTGAAAAATAATTTCATACAAAATCAAATGCTGGCAAAGATTCTCAGATAAATAAATAGAAGGCAAAAATTAAAATTCAAGTGGCCCGAATGGGGCTGGCCTATGGTTTCCCTGCATTCTGTACTTTCTATTTGGTTTTGGTGTTGTCTAGAGGGTATCATGCTCTAGAGCATACAAACCCAGTAGAGAATTGCATGATGGGAACAACCTACCTCTGCACATTCCAGTAGGGGTCATTAATCACACGCATACACAATATGATAGCTAGGGCTAGCTAAAAAACTGAACTATATGTGACGTAAGTGTAATTTGGGTAAATGTAATTAGTAAATGCCATAGTGACACAGCTCAGAGAAATGTGAAGCTCACCAGAAGGGTGATTACCTGCAGTCTACACCCAGATTATACATGGTTTGGTGGAAGGAGGAGGAGGAGAAAAGGCTAGTGAAGCCAGGAGAAGCAAGGGTGAAGGTCCGTGTGAGCGCAGTGGTAATGCTTTAGGCACTAGATGTGAAGTCTCTGCCCTGATATTTCATGTCTTCATGCTTCTAGTTCCTCAAATACAAAACTGGAGATAGTAACGGCAGTCACTTCTTATACTGCTGGCAAGCAAAACACACTTAGAAAAGTTCCAGACAATGTACCCGGTGTTAACGACTTCTTCAGCAGCATTGTTGTGGCTGATCCCTAACAGACTGGGAGTGGATACTTCTGAAAACTGTTGGTAAGGCTTCGTTAGGAGCCTTTCTGATTCTAACCCCTTCTGCTGGCTGAAAGCTCCACTGTGGCTTGACAGTATGCTCCTCCCCACCCTCTGCTACACTGGCTAAGTATAAGTAGACTGACATCCTCAGTAGACTGGCTGACAGTCTTATGTCACTATTCATTGAAGGTACTTCTATCAACTACAGAAAATTAACAGGTTTGGGCGATACCTTTCCTTAAATAGTTTATAGAAATTACCATCTTCTGATTCTTATTTGTGACTGTACTTAAAACTAACATAAGAGAATAAATCTGAAGTAAATGTGTTAATACAAACTCCCTATAAACCTGTAACATGGTCCTCTCTGCAATGTAACACATTTTCAGATTGCTTCCTTTCACAATCAAGTGATAGAAATCGAGGCCACAGGATGTCTAGTAGCTTGTGCTGATCTTTAATGTTAAGACTGTTAGGGTCCTGGAAAAGTCCCACAAAAGACCACCATCCACGCATGTAAACAGTAAGAGCATTTATTATCTCAAGAAAGATTCCAGCATGCTGGGGCCAACTATCCTACACAAAGGCAAGATGGTGAGCGCACCGAGAGAGGTGTGGGAGGTCTTTTTAAGCCTAACTAAGGGAAGTGTACAAGATGTTCGCTCATTGGCTTATGTCAGTGGCAATCATGTCAGGAACTTTTTAATTGACTAGGGCTAGTTAGGAGCTGTCAGGGCTACAGTTTTTCATTTTGGAGCAGGCCTGGACATGTCCCAGGCCTTGTCCTTATTTGGTTATTATCTCAGACTGTCTTAGGCCTGCATTCGGGCAGTTCTCCCCATCCCTGCTGACAGGGGTATTAGAGTTTGACTGTCCTGTTCATGGCTCTTCCTCAGAGACTGCTTTTTCAGTCTCAGGCAACTGAAACTGAGGCCTGATCTCTGAGAGTAGACTAAGCAGCCTGTTATAGTGTCTGCTTGGTCCTTTCAAAAATACAGAGACTTCGCTCTGTTGTCTGCTGTTCTTTTCTTCCCGATGGTAGAGTGCTGCCTAACATGCACAAAGTCTTGGCTTCCAACTCTAGTATCACAAGAAGCAAAAAAAAAAAAAAAAAAAAAATAGACCCTGCCTCTCTGACCCGTCTCCAGCAGATCAAGCAGATCTAAAGCCTCCCCAACCCTTACCTCCAACCCCATCCCTTTGTCATAGCACCAACTCTGCAGGCACTTCCTGGGTACCTGCTGGCTACACCAGCCAGGAAAGCAGGTAGGCAATCTTCAGTCTGTCTCTGTCTCTGTCTCTTTCTCCAAATCCAATTCCTCAGTCTCATCTCCAGCTCTAGAGCAGATCACCTGCTGCAACCTCCTCTTCCTCTCTGCCCCCATTTCTAGCATATCACACAGATCTTCTCCTACAGGCTGCCACACTGCACCCTTCTCACATCCTTTTGTCTGCGTCTCCAATTCTAGCAGGCAATCTCTGGGAACCCAACAAACTATCCACTCTAAGAGCCAGAAAGACCTAGAGAGACTCTGAGACTCTCAGATACCACCCCAAACTTCTATACCAAGAAAAACTTTCCATCGCAATAGGTGGAGAAAGAAAGAGATTCCATGATAAAACCAAATTTAAGCAGTTGTGTATCTATAAACCTAGCCCTACAAGAGATTAGAGCAGGGATTCTCAACCTTCCTAATGCCTCAACCCTTTAAAACAGTTCATGTTGTGGTGAGCCCCAACCATAAAAGTATTTTTGTTCCTACTTATAATGATAATTTTGATACTGTTATGAATTGCAATGTAAGTATCTATGCTTTCTGATGGTCTTAGGTGACCCCTGTGAAAGGGTTGTTCAATCCCCCAAAAGGGGTCACAACACACAGATTAAGAACCACTGTGCTAGAAGGAAAACTTAAACCTGAAGAGGCTAATGACACCCATGAAAACACAAGGAATAAATACTATCAGACCAGCAAATCAAAAGAAGGGAAAGAAAAAACAACACACAATAAAATAACGTGAATCAACAAGCACTGCTCAATGGTAATTCTCAACATCAATGGTTTCAATTCCCCAATAAAAAGACATATTAACAAAATGGGTCCAAAACCAGGATCCATGAATTGGCTGCATCCAAGAAAACACCTGACATGATTACAACCCCAAGAGATGACCTAAGGAATCTCCTGCACTCCAGACATAATCTTAACACCTTTAATCCCAGCACTCGAGAGGCAGAGGCAGGAGGATCTCTGTGAGTTTGAGACCAGCCTAGTCTACAAGAGCTAGCTCCAGGACATCCTCCAAAGCCAGAGAAACCCGGTCTCAACCAAAAAAAAAAAAAAAAAAAAAAGGCAAAAACACTGTTAACACTGTTATTCCTTTCTTAGCCTTTTGACTTAAGGCCATCA